CTGACTGTTCATCCCTCCACCGCAAAACTAATTGACTATCTTGTTAAGTCGTCTTTCCCCTCTCCCCAACCCACTGAAGCAATTTCAAAACCTGTTCTACCTTGTACCCAGAGAATTATTTTAGAAGTTACCCTATTATTCAACCACCACTTACTCATCACCAAGTATTGGGATTTTGGTTGACAATATTACCCTGTTTTTTTTGAGGGGGGAAGGAAACATAATATTTACAATAAATAAGTATTTGCACAAATAAACATAAATTTTGCAATCTGTTAAAAAAAAGGTCAATGTTATGGAGGGAAAAAGTGGGAGGACTGCTCTTTTAACTTTCCTGTTCATTTGAACATATTCTTAATAGAAAGTTGGAAAAATATTTTATCATCAATCATTAAAATCTCTCCCTTCTATGCATCCTTAACTCCCTTAGCTGTCTCTTTACTTTGTCAGAATTGCCTGGTAAAACCTCAACCCTGGCTAAATTCAACTCTTAGCTTACTCTCTGCTTGCATCTGGCAGCTGAATGGGGCTGGGGAAAAAAATCCACCCATGCACGTGCACACGTGTGTGTACAAGTGTGTGTGTGTGTGTGCGCTGACAGGTCTCAGTTAAATTCAAGTGGGCCCTTAGCGCAGCTGGCAATTCTACTACATTTCCCTAGCCCATTCACTCTCTCACTCTTCTGTCTCCCGCATCCTGTCCCCTCAAATGCTCCACTTCCTTCCCACTCAGTCTCAACTAAAGACTTTATTTCCTATTTTAGTGAGAAAACAGAAGCAACTAGAATCTCTGCAAGCTCTAACCACGAAGATCTGTGCCCATATATTCAATCTCCCCTCCTGTTACTGTGGATGAACTTCTATGTCCCTATTCCAGGCCAACGCCATCCCTTGTCTCCTTACCACCTATTCTCAACAGAGAAGCCAGAAGGATTCTGCTGAAACATGAATAAATCAGATACGTCAATGTTCTGCTCACTCTTCAATGGCTTCTCATCTCATGCAGGGTAAAAGCCAGAGTTGTTACAACGGCCAGCAATGTCCAACATGATTGGCTATACTGTTACCTCTCTGATCTCATCTCCACTATTCTTCCACTAGCCACACTGATATCCTTGTTGTTCCTTGAACATTTCAGACAGGCTTCCACCTCAGTGCCTTTGCACTTGCTGTTCTTTCTGTCTGGAAGGCTTTTCCTCTAGATTTCTTCATGGCTTACTCCCTCACTTCCTTTAGGTCTTTCTTCAAATGCTATCTTCTTAATGAGGCCCACCTCAACCACCTATTTACAATTGCACTCCCATCCCTGCAACTGGCCCTCTCCATCCTCCTTCCCTACCTTAGTTTTCTATATAGCACATATCTACCTGATAACAGTGTGAGCAGCCATACTGGTTTGCCCAGGACTGTCCCAGTTTTAGCACTGAGAGTCCCACATCCTGGGAAATCCCATAGTCCCAGGCAAACTGAGATGGTTGGTCACCCTGCTGATAGATTATACATTTTACTTGTTTATTGATGGCATATTAAAAATATAGCCATATATTTCTCTACGACAGGAATTTTTGGTTGATTTGTTCATGATACTCAGTGTACATAGTAAATTCTCAATAAATATTTAGTGAATAAATGGAGAACCAATAATGACTGTCATAAGTTAGGATCACCCAGTGCTTAGTATATAGTAAATTCTCAATAAATGTATGTTGAAAGAATAAGCGAATGAATTCTCTATAAATTTATACATGATTAAAACAGATGTACAACTGTAACCTAATTAGTATGTTAATTGCTAACAGATATGCAAATATGACCCTAATTAGCATCTTAATTCGATGTACATGGATGCTATCTACATTCTTTTTTTTTGCATTCATGACAAAAGCTAATATACACACAAAACATATAGTCTCATGCACATCTTCTGTAGATGCTTATTAATTTAAAGCGTACTTGCCTGGGGCATCCTGCATACTTTATCTACAGATAATCAGACGGACCTTCCCCCAGAGCCCCAAGTTGTTCAGGCCACATCCCAGCAGCACTCACGCCTGACTTCTCCCCCTGAAGTTCTGCAGCCCTCACCACTTCGGGACTAAGCTGGTTGGAAAAGTTAGGCCATCATCTCTATACAGTTGTAATGACTACAGATCTCAAACTTTTCAAAAGGAAAAAAATCTGGCAAACTATTCAAATACAAATAAAAAGCTTTCTGAGCTCCAATGGGCTCTTTTTAAGAGGTACGGGTAGTTCTGGAAGGGACCTGAAGAGCAGGCAAGGAAAGGAGATGGGGACAAACATGTCCTATTCCCGCAGGGAGCTCAGCCCTTAATAACAAAATTGAGCCGCTCAGAGGCAATTAAGGAGAACACGGAGACTCCAACCAGTGAAAAGCCTGCGGGGACAGGACGAGGAAAGGACTGGGAGAGCTGGGGAAGGGCGGGGTGGGTTGTGTCCTCGTCTCCAGCATGAATCAGCACCTGACTTGGTCAGGGTTGCTGGGGTCACTTTCCTAATTATGACAGTAGAGTGGTCAGATGCCACCCGGCACTGGGAGGAGGATCCTACTTCAGAACCGGCTTTGGGCTTCCAGGGAATTTATCTGGTGGTCTAAGTATCTACTATCTAAGGGCGATTTCTGTTGTGGTCCTCTGGTCCTCTCTCACAGGCATCTTTCTTCACTCCAGGTCTAGTCTTACACCACCACCACCAGGGCTAGACTTAAGGGTAAGGCAATAAGACAAAACGACTCCAACCCTGCTTAGCTGTCTCCCCTAACCTCAGGGAAACGCCCCCCTGCCCTAGAAGCTTCTTCCCTTCTCTTCTCTCTCTGGATCAGAGGTTCTCAAGCTCTGCAGCACACTGGAATTACCTGGGGCGCTCTAAACACTACCGATGCCTGGGTCCTACCCCCAGAGATTCTAAAAGCTGGGATGTGGCCTGGGCATTGGGGTTTTTAAAAGCCCCCTGAGGGATTTTAATGTGTAGCCAGGGTGAGAACCACTATTCTAGATCCTGAGCTGTAGGCGGATGTCCTTTTGGATAAACATCCTGCGGTCACTTTGCCTGTCTGCTGAGGAAAATGGGTGTCAGGGAAGGCAGACACTGACCTGAGGAGGGCTAGAAGGCCACTTGCTGTGCTGGGGGCTGAGCAGGAGTGAATGTGCAAGCCCCCAAGCCCACAAGTCATCAGTCTCAGGACATTTCTGAGATTGTAGTCAGTTGCAAAAGTGAATAAAGTATTGATTTTTTTTTTAGTGAGGAAGATTGTCCCTGAGCTAATATCTGTGCCAATCTTCCTCTATTTTGTATATGGGACGGCACCACAGCATGGCCTGACGAGCAGTGTGTATGTCCGTGCCCAGGATCCAAACTCTTGAACCCAGGCTGCTGAAACGCAGCAGGCAAACTTAACCACTACGCCACCGGGCCAGCCCCCAAATATTGATTTTTAAAATGAGAACATGTCAAATTCACTTAAATGTGGCTGTCCAGAGCTCACTAGACCAAGAGAAGTAAACTTCAAGAGTAATTTCTGTCTAGCCATTAGAGCGTGGTTCTCAAACTTGTGTGCCTCTGAATCACCTGGAGGGCTTGTGAAAACAGATCGCTGGGTCCACTCCCAGTGTTTCTGATTTATTGGGTTAGGGTGGGACCAAGGAGGTGCGTTTCTAACAAGTTCCCAGGTTATGTTGATGCTGCGGGTCGAGAGACCACACTTGGAGAACCGCTGCATTAGCGTGTTGCACATGAACCTAATGAAACGACACTTCCACCTGAAGCTATTTATGCTTAGTTGTATAAACATGATCTGCCCGAGCTACTCTTAAAACACCAAACTACACAAAAGAGGAAAAAACCCAGGAAAAAACTGAAGTATTAGATTGGTCCAAAATAACATAAGGGGAATGTTAGAAATATTTGGAAGAATAACACATTTTTCTCCCCTACTCCCTTCTTACAGGTACTTGATTCAAAGAATTGGGCTTTGAGTTTACCACACAATTTTATGAAATGATGTCTGTAATCTTGGCCTGAAAAAAATCAGTGTAGTTTCCAGAAATGCTTCACTTATTTCTGGGTGATGGTCTATGTATCTGAACAAATAATTCTAATAAATCAGTAAAACACCCTGTGGTCAGTCTATTTGTGGGTAAAGCCCTATCAGAGATTATTAATGTAAAAACTCATTAATGAGACAGCGTTGGCAGAGAGCTTCACTAAAAGTCTAGTAAAGATAGCTGAAAGTCTAGTGAAACAGGCTGTCTTTGAAATTCTCCATTTTCTGTGATCAATAAATAAGAAAACTCGTATTCCACAAAGCCAGTTCTTCACGGTTGATGCAAACTTGGTTAACCCTGGAGTGAATTCAATCTGCTCAAGTCATCTGGAAAATATAACAATGCAGGTGGAGTGGGGGCAACATCATTTCTTTTAATAGGCCGTATTGTTCCTGGTTTACTTGAGAGCACTCAACTAGGACCCCGGCACACGGTCATAAATAGGACAGCTACATATGAATGAATTCTTCTTCTACTGTCTACCCTTCTAGAAGTGCTCATTAGACTGACATTAGAAACATATTCGCAAATTGGTAAAGTCAGATTTCTTTGTCCTCGGCAGTTTTTTTATGTGCTTACTTGTAGAGATAAGACCAAAATCTTAGGAAAGCAGAAAAGATAATACCTCTCCTCAAAGTACCTTTTGTCAAAACCAGATCATCTGGATTCTATTTCCACATTCACTACTCAGAGAGATTTTGAATAAATTCCCAACTTTTCCAGAGTTCTTTACCTATGTGCCTCTGGCTTCAAGCAAAGCCCAATTATTCCATTTGCCTACAGCGTTAGATTTTTACCTGGGAATCGCTTATCTTCATTTAAGCAGTAAAAACATAGCCTTAGACACAAAGATGTCAAGATATCAAAATATGTTTGTTTTTAGTAGGAAAAAACCCAGCCTCAATTTTAAAAATAGGTCTCCAATTATTAACAGACTCACTTGCTAATAATGAGTGTTTCCTCTCCACTTATCCAGACTCTCATGAATTCTCCATACATCTTGTTGTAGTAATTGCAGGCGCTGCCAATCCCCATCCACAGGAACCTGAAGTGGGAGATGAGGGGCCCAATCCCCATACAGTAGCCAGGACCTGGAAAGTCATTACACAACGGCCTTTTAGCAATGCCAAACGAGCAACTGCTTTAGGTTACTACAGTTCTTGTTCTTTTGTATCTAAAAATTATTTTAAAAAAACCAACAAAACCCGCTAAATATGAGGCTTTTCACCCCTCCATGAGTAAAAAGCAGTTCAGAGTCCCCACCACATTAGCTCTATTTGGCCTCAATCCTCTCAGTGTGAATGAACCAAGGTCTGTGTCTGCTACTTTCTTCCCATCTTAAGCAGAGTCAATGAGTTTCAAACACAAGTCAATCAGTTCGTCTACTTACAAGCCTGGAAACCAGGACAAGTGACAAGCTGACAGAGTTCTCTGGCTGCCTAGTTCTGTCTGAAAACTTTTGGTTTGAATGCGCCAGTTGACAAAATGGGTGGGTTAGAATTAGGTTGTGGTTTTGGTGTAGGCTTTTTAACTGAAAGAAACGTGGTCTGCAAAGATAATGTCCAGACAGAGAGCATCCATTTCTTTTTTTCCCTCAAAGAGGACTCAGTTTATAAAAAGAAACTTAAGCTAAAGCTCATTAGACAAAAATAAAGCAAAGAATTGAGGAATTAGGCAATGAGTCTATCTGATCAATGTCTGGGCTACAGTTTGAGTCCAGTGATGGGGTTTTACTCAAGAGTAGTGACCACTCACGTCCTTGCTTAGGAGGACCATAGCAGAATTGTAAAGAACATGAATCCAGCGAACAAGTAGGGAATTGGCTGTTGCTCATATGAGAGAACCAACTCGGCAGCTTGATTTTACCGGTGGTGGTGAAAAGCGAGACCAAAACTTTTTGGAATGGTTTTAGGGGTTTTCCTGTAAAGTAGTAGCTTTTCTAAATCTTTCTCCTTTAATTCCATTCTGTCAGTGAAACAGGTATGAAGCCAAACCATGAACAATTGTACAAGACAGTACTCGCCCTCCGAGGGCAAGAGTTGTGTAATAATCTAGATTATTGAAGCTTTTGCTTGAATCATCTAAATTGAATATTTAGACCCAAATTTGGCAAATAAGATTTAGTTTTTAACTTTGCAATAGCTGGGTTAATGTGGACAAGACTGTCAGCTTTTTTTTTCTTTAAAGTGAAGGTCTTTGTTAATATATAGAGAGCCAAAACATTTTCAAAGGGTTCTTAATCTTACAATTGTTCTAATAACACTATATTATAAGTAGATGACTGACTATATGAAAATAATTTCACTAAGTTCTTAAAAACATTTAAACAAGCAACTCGAATATGTATTTCCTGAAAATGTCATCAGATATACAGACCTCTAATCAATTGAAATCGGCATAATAACAAAATACTTTGCTGAATATTTGCAGCTTGAAACATTATAGATGCTCAATAAATGTTTCCATTTATACATAAATGAATTTCCATTCCTCAATAAATGAATTTTTAAAACTAATTAGACATGTGTATAATATAAAGGATGATGTTTTAAATGTCATCCTCATTTAGAGTATTTTAGATTGTATTTACATTTTGATAAAAATGGAAAAATATCGTTACATCACACACATTTAGTTCACATGAGGTCAAACGTCTGGCTATTTGGGAATAGACTTATTCAACAAACATTTACTTACGTAATAGGCCAGGCCCATGAGAAATGAAGACATACAAATGAAAGACTGCACTTCTCTCATTTTTTATCTAAAAGTTTAGCGTCATGGAGAAAGTCTTAATATTTGGGAACCACCATTCAAATTTAAGATACAACAGTGCAGAGCCGTATCTACTCAAAAAGGGAGATTGTGATGAACTTTGTTCAGGTTGAAAACCTGAGTATTCTAACCAGAAGAGAATCAGAGTTTGGGGTCCTTAGTGGTCAGTTATGTGTCAGCTTGATCATCCAACAAACACTGACTGAGACCCTACTGGGCATAGACACCAGCTCCAAGCTAGGGCCTGGAGATGGTATGATAAGTACAACTATGTCCCCATCAGAGTCCTCGGCAGAAGAGGAGAGTATGTGGGGAAAAAGTACAAAATCAAATAATTACAACACAGTGTGATCCTTCCATTTACATGTATAACTTACAGCTTCCAGCTGGAGAGAAGAATGCTGTAGGAGGGGAGAATCTGTGGTAGGATATTAGGGAAATATTCTGGTTGCATTCACATTAAGCTGCACTCTGCTTCTCAGATTTGGGAATGCTCACCTAGGTGTGCAGTGATTTCGGGAGCCCCTTTCACACCCTAAGAGGAGCGATAAAAACTTCACTGCATTTTTGTGCAGAGACAGCCTCCATGAAGCCATGAGCTGGGACCTCTCCCCCAATGTCCTAATCAAGAAGCTGTTGCATTCCATGCTAGGTATATACCCTAGAGAAACCTGTACATGTGAATGTTCATAGCAGCACTGTTCACAATAGCCCCAACCTGGAGACACCCCCAATGTCCATCAACAATAGAATCGGTAATTAAACCATATGTTCATGTAACTGTATACCATATGTACTACAGCTGCACACCACACGTGGATGAATCTTACAAGCATAATACTGAACAAAACAAGCAAGATAGAAGAATAAGTTATAGGATTCGATTGCTGAAACATTTAAAGCCAGGCAAAATTATTCTCTATTGTTCGGGAATGTGAAATTAAGTAGCAAAACTACAAAAAAGGAAGGGAGTGATTGTCACAAAATAGAAGAGTGTTTACCTCTGGGGGTGAGAGAGAGGGTGTGATGGAAAAGGCATAAGAGATGTTTCTGGGACGATGCTAACATCCTATTTCTTGTCCCGGACTGTGATGACATTTATTTGTGCACTTTTCTGTGAAATAGTTTTTTAATGGGAAAAAGAGGAATGTGTTGCCACTTGCTTTTCCCAGTGTCCCCCTCTGGGGACAGGGTGCTCAGGGCAGAGAGAGGCTCTGGGGGAGAGAACCCACGTGCATGGTGGAGGATGGCTGTGTGTCCTTGGAGAAAGGAGAGCTGCCAGGTGCCAGGTTACTGTGAGTCCTGCACAGAGATCCATGAACTTGGAGCAAGTCTCCTGAACTGAAATTTACAAAACCCCCAGTAGGAATGACTCTTTCCTCCCCCAGACCCTCATAGCCCTTCCTAGCACTAAGTCATCTGCCTATGTGTGTCATCTTTGTACACTCCTTGCCCCTCCCCACCCCACCTCCCCGCCCCGGCACGTGATATAGCAAGGCCTCTCAGTAAATACGGGTTGAAGAAGCTTAGATTTGAGTTCCAGTTTCATCACTTACTAGCTGTGCGACATCTACTCTCTTTAATTCTCAGTTTCCTCATCTGCAAAATAGGCATAAACACACCTATCTCACCAGAGTGCTGCGAGGATCACAGGAGAAAATCGGTGCGAAGCTGCTTTGTAAATTGTGACTGACTTAAGGGCTTTTAATCATTACACCTTCTCAACTCCCCTGCAGCTTTCGCTGACCCTGAGCTTCCCTGAAACCTATAAAATCAAGCCCAGAGAGCCAGTGATTCAAGGAAACTGGCAAAAGGAGTGGAGAAGTGTTGGTCAGCCAAAACCAGCAAGGCCAGATTCCTCACCTTCCCTTCCCCACTCAGGAGCCACGGGATCTCAGTCCGTGCCACCAGAGCTTTCTGACCAGACTTCACATTTTCAAAGGGAAAGCATGGAACTAGAAGCTCCCCGGCTAGCAAAACGATCATCAATGTGGGAATTTCTGGTTGCCCGCCGCCCCCCTACTCCCACTTTCCTTCCAGATGAGACGCTGACAAGCCATTTCCCTTCTCTGGGCTTTAACCCCTCACCTCTAATATGAGGAGTTTGACCTCCATGGTTTCTCATACTTGTCATAACGATATGCCTGGGCAAGGTGGATCACCTCTTTGGGACTCAGTTTCCTCTTCTGTCAAATGAAGCGGTTGGGCTCATATCCGTGGCTCTCAACCCTGACTGCTCATGAAAAACCACCTGGTGAGATTTTCAACAATATTAGCAACATGGTGGCCCCACCTCAGACAGGGCTGAGAATCACAGTACTACGCGATCTAACTCTCCATGTGTGACAGCATGATGTGCCTGCCCAGAAATGGTGGACAGAGGACCTGCCACCTAGGCTCCTGATGCGGAGCTTCAGGGATGCCAGCTCTCACACTGGCCCCCGTGGGTTGACCTCCTCACTCCAAGGTCCAAGGGAGCCGTATCACCATCTGCAGCATAAACATCTGGGGGGACGTGTTAAAAATACCCTCCACCTCACCTCCACCGTTCATGGACCCAGACCTGGGAGCCCACAGGAGGAGGGGAAATCCAGTGAGGGAGGGGCAGTAGTGGAGAAGGGGTTCGAGTTAAAGACCGTGGAAGAGTCTTCCCTCAGACCCCATCAGGGAGCAGAGAACAAAGTTAACTAAACGGTCCACTAAATTGGTCATTAAAGTAATGTAAGGCCGGCCCCGTGGCTTAGCGGTTAAGTGCGCGTGCTCTGCTGCTGGCGGCCCGGGTTCGGATCCCGGGCGCGCACCGACGCACCGCTTCTCTGGCCATGCTGAGGCTGCGTCCCACATACAGCAACTAGAAGGATGTGCAGCTGTGACATACAACTATCTACTGGGGCTTTGGGGGGAAAAAAAATTAAAATTATTAAAAAAAAAAAAAAAGTAATGTAAAATACCAGGCCGAGTCAGATAGAGAAATAGGCAGTTCTCTGGAAAATTTTAAAGAATCCAGACACAGGGCACTTGGCACCAGCCCCACACTCCCACTCTATTTATTTTTTTTTTGTGAGGAACATCAGCCCTGAGCTAACATCCATGCTAATCCTCCTCTTTTTGCTGAGGAAGACTGGCTCTGAGCTAACATCTATTGCCAATCCTCCTCCTTTTTTTTTTCCCTAAAGCCCCAGTAGATAGTTGTATGTCACAGGTGCACATCCTTCTAGTTGCTGTATGTGGGACACGGCCTCAGCATGGCCGGAGAAGCGGTGCAGTGGTGCGCGCCAGGGATCCGAACCCCAGCCACCAGTAGCAGAGCGCGCACACTTAACCGCTAAGTCACGAGGCCAATCCCCCACACTCCCACTCTAAATCACGCTGTGATGGGGCCCACCACACTTGGAAGTGTGTAATGACTATGTTCTTGAAATAAAGCCTTATCAGGTATCTTACGGGACTAGGGACAGACACCTGCCCTGAGGAATTTTCACTGAAAATTAAAGAAATGATCTGAAAATTCCCATAATTTTGAATTTATCTAATAGTGTGGAGTGGCCGGGGCTTCTACTGGGATTTTCTGGATAATTATATTATACTCTACTTTTTTGTGTGTGTGTGTGAGGAAGATCAGCCCTGAGCTAACATCCATGCCAATCCTCCTCTTTTTGCTGAGGAAGACTGGCCCTGGGCTAACATCCGTGCCCATCTTCCTCCATTTTATGTGGGACGCCGCCACAGCATGGGCTGACCAGCGGTGCGTTGGTGCGCACCCGGGATCTGAACCCGGGCCGCCAGCAGCGGAGTGCGCACACTTAACTGCTACACCATGGGGCGGCCCCTATACTCTACTTTTGATTGACCCACAGACCTTGTTGAAGATTCTGTCAGATTGTGATGTTCCAAGGGACCTGTAGTGGTCCCCATTCTTCTTCCACTGCCCGGGTCCCATCCAGCCTTTACGATGACACCACCATCACCCCACCCAGAAGAATAAAAAAGAAAATAAAGAGCGAGATAAAGAGAAGGAGTAAGTTCAAGAAAGGGAAAGGGCAGAGGGCATGGATGAGGCAAAGTGGGAGGGAGAAGGAAAGGAGTATAGAAGGCATTCCAGAGACATTTTCACCTTCAGAGCAAAATTGGAATGAATTTGAATCAAAAAATAAATAAACAAAAACCTGGAATTTTACCTTGCTCCACCTCATCTCTAACTTATTTAAAGGATACTTGTGCCAAGTCTAATTTACCAAAGTAAAGTGCAGACTGGAAAGCATTATCCAAGATATTTTTTAAGTGCTTTCATTTAAAATGTACAGATAATTGGCATAAAAATTTTCACCTGAGTCCTCATTTGCTAACATTGCCATGGGCTTCAGCCATCTCCCCAGAGTTGCCCTGTGTCATTTTACAAAATTTTCTTTATCCTCATGGACCAAAAGCCCAAGTAAACAATCTCCTTAGACACAAAACTAAATGAATGACTTACCTGGTATTGAGGATGTTTCCTCATGATTCCAAACCAAGAGAAGAAAGCCAGTGAGCAGCAGGATTGGCAAGGTGGCAACAGGCATGACTTCGGGCACCATGCTGGTGAGGTTATAACGCGTTGGGTTCAGCATTTCCAAAACCATCTTGTTCTCCTTGATCTCAGGCAGAGCAGTTTAAAGTCCTGTGGAAATCAGGGGGGCAGAAAAATTAGAGAATCCCCCAAAATGTATGTCTAGGACTCCCGTTGCGTCAGAAGATGCTGTACTGTACTGATCGGCGCAGTGTTTTATAATGTGATCGGACACTTAGACAAGATAAATTTCTGGTTGCAAGTCAAAACAAGCAAGCCCAAGAGAGATCTTTCGGCTTGAAGTGCAGCACTTCTGACCTTGGTAGCCTCAGGTTCGTTTAGACGCTTGGTCAGATAGAACCTTATCATCTTGCCCTTGAGTGAGTAGAAAGTGATTGGATTCCCAATTAAGAGACGAATTTCTCACCAAAATACAACAAAATGAAGCTCTTTCCAGAGGTGGAGTCATTCCGTGACTTCATCAGCAGATTTTGTTTAGACAATCTTCTTCCCTTGAAGCCAAATCAGTGGAAGGGGGGGAAAAAAGCAATCCCCAACCTTCTTCCTTGCTCAAAATTACCTTCCCCAGAGAGTAAGCTTCTTTGGCAAGGAAGTTTTTCTTGGGCATTGTCGAAGTGTTCTCAGAGCCTCCCGTTAGGTTGTCTATTGAATTCAGTGCGACTGACTTAGGACAATCTTTTTCTATTGCCTTTAATGAGGCTTAAAATCCCTTGCACCGTGGGCTGGATCAAGCAGTCCCTGGGGGCCAACATCAGAGGTAGTGGGAGAGAAGAATGGGAGAGGAAGAAGAAAGAGAGGGGAGAAAAAGAAGGAATGGGGAAGGAGGAAGTCAGAGAGGACAGGATAAAATGCCACAGTCATAGGCTCAGGTGCCACTCAGCAACCTCGCTCCCCACAGCAGCTCCCCTCCCGTGCAAAACAATTTTCAAGTTTGATTTGCTGGTTCTGTCGTATTTTTCAACACGGTAGTGTTGAGTTTGTCTTTTCAGTAAGGTTTTCTAATAGTTATACTCTCAGAAGAGAGTTTCCGGGATGGTGGTTTGTTGAAGAGACCAAGAGTGAATAGACTCGTATGGTGAGGACAGAGCAACAAGTCAATACAGTTCTGGTGCCAGATGACCACTTCCCTTGGAACCTGCCCAAAGTTTCCAGGACTTGTGAAGGCTCTGAAACAGATTTTGGCTGGGTTTTACCTAGTAATATTAAGTTCTAGATTCTTAGCCAGGGCTTCTAATTAGATTTCAGGGGCTCTGTGAACTCCCTGAAATGCTGCATAAAATGTTGTATCTGCTCATCTGCACTTTTTGGGGAAAAGAAGCCATAATTCTCATCAGATTCTTAAAGAGTATATAAGTACATTTCTCCCCTGATCTATACGAGTTCTTGAACATCCAAACAAAAACCCATTTCTGGCAACTGCAGAAATTTTACAATATAGTTGAATTCATTCAGTTGCTTGATTCATTCTATTATTCCACCATTTAAATAATCATTAATGGTGCAGTGCAAGACACTGAAAATGCCTATACATATGTTGTGCAGTTGGTTTGTTTCAAATATATGTGAGCTGAGACGGAAAAGTCAGCAATGTGTCTGTTATCGTCTGGTTCCTTTGTTAATGAGTAGCTGCTGCCTTGAGCAGATTGAGTTTTTTGATTTCTGGAGTGGAATTTTGCATCATTCTGAGTAAACTCTGTGTGGCTTATGACAGCCAAGACCCTCAAGATTTCTATTTATATTGATGAAATCTGAAACCAATGTTAAAAGCATAAATGAGGAAAGTGGTTGTGACAAAAAGGAGGAAGACGCCCCAGAGGAAGTGATGCCGACAAAAAAATTTCACATTAAAGGAACTCTCAGAGGTATTCCACAACATGGAAAGCATGAAGGATAAAATGTTGGAAGCTGATGCAAATTTATAAAGGAGTAGGACAATTCACCAAGCCATAGAAAAGATGCTTCCTTAGTATCTTAAGTTAGACAAAGGAAAGAAGTCAAGAACTGTTCAAATACTCTTGATGAGTTCTTTTTACAAAGAAACACTTTAAGGATTGTAATGTTTCTCATGTTTTAAATTACAGTGTATTAAAATATTAGTTTTGCTATTTTTTTCATTTCCCTATACACCTGAAGCCTACAATAAGAGTTTGTAATGTTTCAACAAAAAGTTTAAAGGTCACTGAACTGTCGTATTTTTTCTCTTGATTGTTAAGATTGCTTTGCACAGTTTCAGTTTGCCTGGTCATTTCTACGGTCCTGCACTATTGTGCAAAGCGAGGACTGCTTGTATGTCTAAATGTTTAATGGGGCTAAGAAGCCAGGTTCCTCATCTTCCTCGAGAGTATGTCCTAAAGATGCCCAAAAGAGCACCATTTAAAGACTGAAAAGGATGAGCATTTTTTAATGCTTACAAGGCATTCGCCTTGTAACAATGTGTCAGACATTGTTCCAAGCACTTTACAAATATTAAGCCATTCATCCTCACAACAACCCCATGAGCTAAGTATTATGATCCCCATTTTTTTTTTTGTGAGGAAGATTAGCCCTGAGCTAACATCCGATGCCAATCCTCCTCTTTTTTTTTTGTTGAGGAAGATTGGCCCTGGGCTAACATCAGTGCCCATCTTCCTCTACTTCATATGGGACGTTGCCACGGCATGGCTTGACAAGCAGTGTGTCGGTGCGTGCCCGGGATCCAAACCTGCCAACCCTGGGCTGCTGAAGCGGAGCGCGTGCACTTAACCACTACGTCACCAGGCCAGCCCATGATCCCCATTTTATTGATGAGGAAACTGAGGTATGGGTTAGTAGCTTGCCCCAGGGCACCCAGTTTATTTGTTGCAGAGCTTGGATTAGAGTCCATGTAGTCTTCAGAGCCCATGCTCTTAATCATGCCATTTTGCTGCCTATTATGGGATTCATTCGGTCCCTACATTTCATCATTTATTCATTCCTAGGCTATTCAGAATGACTTCCTTTAGCGGAGCAGGCTTTTCAGACCTCCGAAGGGCACAGCTGGAAGGTTCTTTGAGATTCTCTCCTCCTTGCGCATTGGTTGTCCTGTTCAGTAGAACGTTCTGATGGGCCACACAGACAGGTTAAACAGAGCCCTTTGAACGTGGTACAGGAATGTAGGAAGGTTCTAGAACTTCATAGAGTTTGCTTATATGTCCCCTGTGCAGGAATACCCTTCTGTCATCCCCAAACATCCAAATACACACACAGCCTTCAAGTGCCACACGCCTTCAAAGACCATCTCAAATGCCTCGGTCTCTAGGCATTTATTTGCAGGGTGGTCTCCACTCTCTACTCACTGGGGTAGCCCACACTGGGCCTGGCACCAAGCGGGGGCTCTAGCCACTTGATGAACCAGGCCCGTGCTCTTGTGCTGGGTGGAACAGCAGGTATCCTACCTCCTTTACTTAATGCCCCGCCAGCCTCAGGGTAAGGAAAAGCCAGTCCTACACCCAGAGTCCCCCTGTCTGAGCCAGGGCAAGGCCCCTACAGACACAGCAGAGCCTAGGTGTCCTGGTGACCTTGGGGCAAGACACATCCTGGGCCCCACAGTGCCAGGAGATGCCCCTAGATGCCCTGGTACAGCTCTGACCCACTGCAGGGTGGCGAGGTAGGCCCTAGCCTTGCATAAGTACCCCCCGGCCTGGCCAGCCTCTACCAAATCCTACCTTGCAGCATGGGGGCGCACTGCCCAGCAAGGAGATGACCCAGCCATCCTGGGTGTGAGGGCTGCGTGCCAAGCCTGCCCTCCCTCTCATTTTCTCCAGCACACCTGGTCTGTCCCTCTTTCACGCCCCCACTCCCAGAGAAACATCACCCAGCCACCTTGGTTGTCCCTGCTGCACCTTCTGATTTGGGTCCCCACAGGGGGCTGCATCCTGGGGCTGCTGCAAGGAGCAAGACAGATGTCACCTCAGTCCCCAGGAGCTGACAGAAAGGGTCTTCCAGGGGGAGGTACAGCCCCTTATTGAACAGTTCCCCAAGCAAGTGAGAACTTCCAGTTGCGGACAGGAAGGCTTGTGGCTACAGAGTGTCCTGTCCCAGGGAGGGGCTACTGAGTGGGACTGGGAGGCTGGGATGGATGGGAGTCGGGGACAGTGAGCATGATGCTAAGCAGAAAGAAGGATCAGCAAGGAATAGAAAGAAGGCTGGTGACCCGGGACTCAGAGAGCGGGAGGGGCCAGTGTGGGGTGCACTGGGGCTGGAGGTGGTGGTAGGGGACACCTGCACAAAGCCATGTAGGCACGTTAAAGATGTTAGAATTTGTCCAAAGAGAAATGAGAAGCCACTGAAGGGGTTTAAGCAAAGGATCAGCAAAATCATATTTGCTTTGAAAACTAAAATCACTCCAGCTGTAGTGGGCAGAATACGATGAGGGGGTGGTGTTGGAGAGGGTGAAGTGAGACCAGTTGAGAGGCTTCCATAGTTTTTCAGGCAGGAGAGGGAGGTGCTGTGGTCTCAGGAGGTGGAAATGGAGTCAAGTGAACAGGTTCTAGAGATATTTGGTAGTTGCGTTAACATGACTGTCATGATTTAAATCCAGTGATATGGGGAAGGGGAAAGTGTTAAATATGACTCCTAACTTTCCAGACTGTGTACCTGGAGGTGCGGTGGTGCCATTCTCTGAGCTAGGACAAGATTTGTGGTGGGGGGAGTTCTTTTAGCTTTTACAAATTTTGAGTTTGAGGAATTTTTGAACCATCCAAGCAGCAATATGTAATCTGTAACTCAGGGGAGAGGTCTGAGCTGACATATGGGCTATGGAGCCTGTATACACTGAGAAGGGTGTCTTGAGGGACACCAAAATTTAATGAGAGAATAGAGGAGGCTACACCTTGTAAGAAAAGATGAGTTTACAAAGAAGGCAGGAGAGGAGGGGCCCAAGAGCTAGCAGGAGACCAGAAGAGGCTGATTGTGGCTAAGTGCCAGCATCTTTGATGACCAAGGAGGCATGCCTGGGATGTTACACTATTGGAGACAGAGAGGACGGTGGAAGTCAGAGTGTGTCCAAAAGGCAGGACTTTCCAAAAAGCAATTTTTTCCTTTTTTTTTTTTAAGGTTATAACAGTTGTTAT